AAAAAAAAAAAAAAAAGAAATTCCTTTCAAAGAAAACTGGATTAGTCACATATTGTTGGTGGGAATGTAGAATGATACAGTTACTCTACAAAACAGTTTGCAAGTTTCTTTATAATTAAGCATACAGGCTCTGCGCCTGTAGCTCAAATGGCTAAGGCGCCAGCCACATACACTGAAGCTGGCAGGTTCGAATCTAGCCCGGGGCCTGCCAAACAACAATGACAACTACAACCAAAAAATAGCTGGGCATTGTGGCAGGCACCTGTTCCCAGCTACTTGGGAGGCTAAGGCAAGAGAACTGCTTAAGCCCAGGAGTTGGAGGTTGCTGTGAGCTGTGAGGCCACGACACCTCTACCCAGGGCAACAGCTTGAGGCTCTGTCTCAAAAAAAAAAAAGGATATAATTAAGCATACACTTACCAAATAATCCAGAAATAATACTTTCTGCACATTTATCTCAGAAAATGGAAAATGTATCCCCATAAAAGAACATGTATACAAATGTTCATCAAACTTTATTTGTAATAGCCAAATACTGTAAATAATCCAGATATCCTTCAATGGGTGAATGGTTAAAGACAACTGTGGTACAACCATGTCACATACTACTACGCAGCTATAAAAAGGAATAAACTGACAAATGGGGAAAAAAGCCAATCCCAAATGGTTGCATACTGCATGATTCCATCAATATAAATTCTTGAAGTGGCAAAATTATAGAAATACAGGAGAGATTAGTATCACGGAAGGGGGCAAAAAGGAAGTATCAGGAAAGTATATATGGTTGACAAAGAGGAACATAGAGATTCCTGTTGAAACTGCTCTGTATCTCGATTGTGGTGGTGGATATATGAATCTACATACAGTATGATAAAACTATATAGAACTACACACACACATAACAGAGTGCCAACAAAACTGGGTAGACTGTATCAAAAGTCTGGTTATGATACTATACTATGGTTTTACAAAATGTTACCATTAGGAATATCTACAGAAAGAGTTATTTCTTACAAGTACTTAATGACTTGTGTTTTCCTATTCTTTAATTTTCTACAGCGAGCAATGCAGTGGATATCTGCTGTTTCTGTCTGGCCAACAGCCATTACCCTTTCTTCTGGGAAGAACGTTCAAGCTTGAGATGGGGAGCTATGCCCTATCCCAATGGAAACAGTCTTGGTAGGCCTGTCCATCAAGATGTCTCACCATCCCTGGGATCTGTGCCAACTAGATTTACTCTTCTCTAAATTTTAACCTTCAGCAGAGTTGACAAAGATTAATTCATCCCAGCTGGAATGTTTTTAAGAAACTGTATATTAGTCCAGCTACCTGATCTCTGAAGCTGCATTCCTTCTCTTAATTTCAGAGCCTGTTTCTTTCTCATGAGCCTGTGAAATACCCCCATGTTCTTCAAATAAATCTCATTTTGCTTAAATTATTCACATTTGGTTCCTATTGTTTATACCTCAAGAGACCAATCAAAAATATGCTCCCTTCAAACAAACCTAACACTAACATTTTACCTGTTTTTAAATTTTTAATTATAACTTTCACTTTGTAAGACCTTACATAAGCTTTCATTCATAAACCGTTACTCAAAAATGAATAGTTGGCTGGGCATGGTGGCTCATGCCTGTAATCCTAGCACTCTAGGAGGCCAAGTTGGGTGGACTGCCTGAGCTCACAAGTCGGAGACCAGCCTGAGCAAGAGCAAGATCCCATCTCTAAAAATTGCCAGACATTGTGGCCAGTACTGGGACCTGTAGTCCCAGCTACTCGGGAGGCTCAGGAAAGAAGATCAATTGAGCCCAAGAGTTTGAGGTTGCTGTGAGTTACGATGCCACAACACTCTACCGAGGATGACAAAGTAAGACTCTGTCTCTCCAAAAAAAAAAAAAAAGAAAAGAAAAGAAATAGTTTCTTACAAATTAACTTAATGGAGTATAAATTTAACTGGACTTAAAAGACTAAGTTTTAATTATAGGCCAAACATACTAAGTCCAAGTGGTATAAAAACCCATGGATATGGCTCCTGCTCTCAAGTCTCACAGGCAGGTCAGATAAGGGTAATAAGTAACTATAGTATAATATGGGAACTGATACAACACAAGTGTATATAATGTTACACCAACACACAAAAAGCCCATACAGTAAAGAATAAACTATAAATTTTAAATACATATCATTCTCATATAGGATTTACCAATATTTTCTCTACATCAGTCAGTGCATAAACATACATTTTTAATCTTATAACATAAAGTAATATTAACATACACATTTCCAATCTCTTACTTTCATTATTAGTCTGCAGAATACTAAGTATCCTAATGCTAGCATAAGACAAATGATGAATTTGATGAACCTTAATGTAGACTATGTTTCTAAAATTAAGACAAAACAATGATTACAAACTACAAGAAAAACAACAACCAAAAAAGCACACTCAATGAATAACCATATGGTAATAAGGTAATATCACTAGTATTTAGTTTCTGGACTAATTATCTAGTTTTATAAAGCAAACATCATGCATCCAAAGGGAAGCTCAATAAAATTTATAAAAGAATGCTTTATAATTGCATAATACTTCTTTAGAATAAAGTACTTTATAATTGCATAATACTTCTTTAGAATAAAATAATACTTCTTACCTTCTGGAATTGGAAAGCACCCCAAGAAAAAGAAAAGAGAAAAAAAGAAAGCTTTTAATTTTTCTTTACAAAGCAACAATAAAGCCAAAAAATAAACTGACCCTTCCCCTCCCAGCAACATCTACAATTTCTCAAATGAGCAACCCCTTTTTGCTACATAAAACATTACTTTCTTCTTTAAAATTTGTTAGTACAAAATAGTATACAAAAATACATCAAAAATGCACAAATTCAGTTAGTAGTCTAAACCACTACAGAAAACAGCTGCAATATCTTAACTATGTGAAAGAGTAAAACCACGAGGGCAGTTTAGAGTTAAAAGTGAATACAATGAGTATCTCCCATTCTTTAATATTCTTCCCATGCATTTCAATTTCGAGGAGCCATCATAAAGCCATCAGCTATGGACTGGACCCTAAGGTTTACTAGTGTCCCTTTGATTCATAATGGAATTCACTGTGTGAATAACAATGGATAAGAATATCCATGTTTTCTGCCAATACCCAAGCATTTTCTTTCTTTTTTTTATTATTAATTTTTTTTCTGACATCCCTACCAGGTTTTCAGGGTTGAAAGCAGACTGAAACTAGTAGATAAAGATGATGCAGGCTTAACCAAAAAGTATCGGTTAACCTTAGATAAATATGGCATCAATTTAATAAATAATTTTCCTAATGCAATCACTTCAAGGCAATTCAGCTTGGCAAATAACCAAATTATCTACGCTGCAGGGTAATGATTTCTGTTGAAAAGCAGCAGAGGATACTGATTTTATTTCCCTTGCTGTAATATACTTTTACACAAGAAGTGTAGGGGAAAATTAGGTGTTTTGATGATTTTTTGGTATGAATGACGTGAGCTAAAACATATAAACCTTAAATACCACATAAGAGAAATTATTTTCTTCACAATAAAAATATTAGTACTAATCAGATGTGATTGGGACTTTCCCAAAGAGGTAAAATTTCAATCTAGAAAATGTTTATCACGCATGATCTTTGCTAGCTGGTTCCAAGGGTTCCTTACAATCTTAACCCTAAAGCTACCTGGCTTGATAGAAAAGACTGAAATATAAGAAAAACTCCTTGCTAGCTGACAATTTTAAGCTCCACAAAACAATACAAAGAAGAGTTACTTAAATGTTCAGGTTTGTTTTTTTTTTTTAATGTCTTGGCAGTTTCAGAAGCCATGTTATTACAATGGTTGAGGTTTTATTTCAAATTCTCCCAGAAAGCAACCTGTAATTAGACAACAACCAACAACTAATGCTGTTAAATGTCAGTGTGGCCTTTGATTCAAAAAATAATAGAGCAAATATACTAATTAGAAAGGTGTGGAGAACCATAGATATAAAAATGGTAGGATACACTGAAAAAACAAAACAACACAACGAGGTTTCTAGTTTCACTGAGCTGACTGTACAACCCTGGCCAAGTCTCAATCTCCAATGGGCCTTAAGTTTTCAATAATAAAATAAGACCTAACTATAAAGTATTTTCCAGCTGTAACACTATGATTGAAATAATGTGATTAATATGGAAAAGGAGTGGAAGAGGGAAGGAATAGAGAGAGGAATGCAACAAAGACTACTCATTTTGGAGTACTGTTAATCAGAGGCATCATGCTATAATGTAACTAGGCAAGCTTCACTGACAAGGACACATGTCCATGTCATCTGCTTGCTTCCAAATTTGCCAGTACTACTATATAACTAGTACTTAACCTCATTTTCCATGTCTTTTTCCATAAAGAACCAATGTTTTTACATTGACTTCTTTCAGGTGTCAAAGAAGTAATATCCTAATTTAAAAGCTAAATAGCTAGCCACATTAATTTATTAGCTATATAACTCAGTCATACCAATCTTATAGTGTGAAAATTCAAATTCATGTCTCACCAAAATTACTAATTATATATCATGAACCCCTGAGATCACTAGTGAATGGTCTGATTCACAAAATGCTCAATTCATGTATGATAAATTGAATAAAGATTCCAATTTCTTTTACTTTTTCTACTCACAAATGTAAAAACAAGGAAAAAATAGAGAATAGGGTCTCTAGAACTGAATCCTATTTTTTTCTTCTTTCCTAAAAACTCTTTCTCTATTAACTGACATAAGAGTTAAGGTAATACAACTAATAAGATGAGTAAAGCAGGTTAAGAAAACTCCAGTGAGGGGAAAAAGCACTAAAGGCAACTTCAGAAGAAAGACTTGAAGTGCTTCTACACTAGATGCTGTTCAAGCTTATCTGCAAATGAATGGCAGCCACAGCTGAGGGAGGGGGAACCTGTTGCAAGACCAATCTAAGAATAGAAGTAGTGATGTACGTAACAGCAAAGGTTTACCAGGAATGGTTTCCAAGAACACACAAGCACTTGTTTTATTGGTTCAATCAATAGTGTACATACTTAAATGTGTAGGTTTAGTTGCTCTTTGTTGTTGTTGTGTTTTTTTGACATAGAGTCTCACTCTGGGGCCTTGAGTAGAGTGCCATGGTGTCATAGCTGACAACAACCTCAAACTCTTGGCTCAAGAGATCCTCTTGCCGGCTCAGCGCCTGTGGATCAAGTGGCTAAGGTGCCAGCCACATACACTTAAGGTGGTGGGTTCAAATCCAGCCTGGACCTGCCAAACAACAATGACAACAACCAAAAAAAAAAACAAACAGCCAGTCGTTGTGGCGGGCGCCTGTAGTCCCAGCTACTTGGGAGACTGAGACAGTAGACTCACTTGAGCCCAGGAGTCGGAGGTTGCTGTGAGCTGTGATGCCACGGCATTCTACCCAGGGGCACAGCTTGAGGCTCTGTCTCAAAAAAAATTTAAAAAGCCTATGTTAAATGGCCTATTCCAGACTATCTGTAATGTCATCCCTTTTCATTGCACCTTTAAAATGAGTAGACAACAAAGACTACCAAAAAATCTAGAATTCTAGTCTGAGCCAAAGAAAAACAAAACGATTCTGACTTGAAGTCTGTGGCCTAATGGAGGATGGTTCCATGAATTTAAAGCTTAACCTAATTTCATAATTTCAAACTGACTTGGACTTGGGTACTGGTGAAGACAGAGCAAGCCAATGATTGTATTGCTTTCTCATTAAAACTAAAACCTCTGAACACAAAAAGCAACTTCCAGGCAAGACGCGGTGGCTGATGCCTATAATTCTAGCACTCTGGAAGGCTAAGGAGGGTGAACTGCTTGAGCTCCCGAGTTCAAGACCACCTTAAGCAAAAGTAAGACCCTGTCTCTACTCAAAATAGAAAAACTGAGGCAAGAGGATTGCTTGAGCCCAAGAGTTTGAGGTTACTGTGAGCTATGAGGCCATGGTACACTATGCATGATGACAGCTTGAGACTGTCTCAAAAAACAAAAAAAAAAAGAAAAAGAAAAAAAGAAAGAAAAAAAAAGAAAAGAAAAAGCAACTTCCCACCACAAAAAAGATATAAAAGTACACAGATGTTTGTAGTAGCATTACTCATGACAGCCAAAAAACAAAAATGTCCAGCAATGGATGATGGATAAACAAACTGTGGTATATGCACACAATGGAATATTTATTCTATAATAAAATAAAATTGCTATAACACGAGCAAAGCTTCAAATCATTACACTGTGTGCAAGAAGCCAGTTACAGAAGAATTATTGCTTAATTCTATTTATATGAAATGTCTAAAATAGGCAAATTCATAGAGACTGAAATTTGATGAGTGGGGTGGGGGTATCAAAGTGAGAGAGTGATGGGTAGTAACTATGGAGTTGCTTTTGGGGGCAACAAAAATGTCTGCACACTTTGAAATGGTCACTTTGATGGTATGTGAATTATAACTTAATTTTTAAAAAGCAACTACCTAAAACACTAAAAATTAAGAAAACTGGCATACTGAGCAGTCAAAACTTGACTGATATGAGGTTATATAATAAAGAGTTTAAGTCACGTAAGTTTACCCTTACCCAAAGAAAGGTCTGGCTTTGGTCTTAGCTTCTGGGAAGTAATCACTACTAGTTCCTACAAGACCCTTGGGGGGCCAGATACTAACAGTGTGATTTAGAGTGGGGGCTTTGAGACACCCAACAATGTAATTTGATTTATGGCAGAGGCTTGTGTCTTTTTCAGCTGATCTCTGGAGGAGCTGGAGACTAGAAACTAAGATTGGCCACATAAGCAATCAACATGCCTACATGATGAAGCCCCAATAAAAACTGGACACCCCAAAATATTCAATACTGATATGAAGCCAACAGACGATCTCATACATGCCCATATAAGAGAAAAACTCAAATCAATTTGTGGGGGTGGAGGGGATGGGAGAGGAGGAAGGGTGTGCTCCCACTTACTGGGTACATTGTTAGGGGTATGTGGCATACCTCTTGTGGGCAGGACACAATTGTAAGAGAGACTCTACCTAACAAATGCAAAAAACAAAAAAAAAAAACCTGGATACACAGGCGTTGAGTGAGCTTTGCTGGTTAGAAACACTCCATATAAACTCACACAGTGATGCCTATAAAGTAACATTTTCCTGAGTCTATGGGCAGAAAATAAAACTGAAAGCTCTGTATATAGTATTCTACCTTGACTCTGACCGATACGACTCTTTCTTTGGCTGACTGGCTGATTCCAATCTGTAACCTTTCCCTCTTACCTTTCCCATAACTGTGAGCATAATGACTTTGAGTGAGTTATGCACGTCCTTCTAAGCAAATTATAGAACTTTGAGAGTACTCTTGGAGACCCTGAAATGTGCAGTTGGTCTAACAAGTGAAGGCAGTCATATGGACTGTGCCCTCTAATTTCACAGTTGGCTAACCTCTTGCAGAGCTAGTTTCCAAGATTTTTTTTTCTCACCATTTTAACTAAAGAACAGGGAGGTATAAAACTACAGGTTACAGGTGAAACTCTGAGAGGAGTCCTGTCTTTCTGGCCAGAAAACAGGGAAATGGAGCCCTGTAGGAAAGAAAGAAAATAATGGGGGAAGTTCCAGAAGAGAATGGAGAAGAGAATTCTCTATCACCATAAAGGCTTGGGCTCATCCATGAGCTGTGCATAATTCCCAACCAACACAGCTTTCTTTCTAAAAAAGATACCTCCAGGTCCAGTTGATTTCACTTGGAATCTCAGCAAACATTTGAAGAACTAGCACCAATGTCATCCAGAAAATAGAAAAGCATACTACTCAATTCATTTATGAGGCCAATGTTACTTTGATACCAAAACCAGGCAATGACAGTACAAAAATAAGAAAACTAAATAAAGACCAACATTTCTTATGAACTTAAAAACAAAAATCCTCAACAATCTTTTACTAACTAAATGCAGTAATGTATAAAAAGAATTTATATACCACAACAAAATTAGAATTTATTGCAAGTGTGGGCCAGGTGCAGTGGTTCACGCCTGTAATCCCTGCACTCTGGGATTGCCTGAGTTCACAACTTTGAGACCAGCATGAGCTACAACAATACTCCTTCTCTAAAAATAGCAGGGCTTTGTGATAGGCGCCTGTAGTCCCAGCTACTCAGAAGGCTGAGACTCCAGAACCACTTAAGCCCAAGAGTCTGAGGTTGCTGTGAGCTATTACTCTATAGCACTCTATCGAGGGCAACAAAATGAGACTCTGCCTCAAAAAAAAAAAAAAATAATAATAATAACAGAATTTATTATAAGAGTGCAAGGCTGACTCAGTATTTAAAAATAAATGTACACTAGGCACAGTGGCTCACAACTGTAATCCCAGCACTTCGGGGGGACAAAGTAGAAACATCACTTGAGGCCAGGAGTTTGAGATCACCAGTGTAAGACCCCATTTCCACCAAAAAATTAAAAAATTTAGTCAAGCATAGTGGTACATGCCTGCAGGCCCACTACTTGGGAAGCAGGAGAATTGCTTGAGCCTGGAAGTAGGAAGTTATTGTGAGCTGTAATTGTACCAGTGCACTCCAGCCTGGACAACAAAATAAGACCCACCTCGCTCT